AAAAAATAAAAAATTCTGTTTTTAGCGTGTTTATCAAAGTAGGCGCGACAGAGATCCCGACACTTAAAAACAGCGCACCCGAGTCGCCCACATTTGGGGCGATCGCAAAGGTCAACCCAACCGGAATGCAATGGAAGGTCATCGCTCTAGGATGAATTTGGTGTGAATTCTAGTAAATATAAAGTCTTTTTATTTTGGGGTGAATTAAGAGAAAACATCAGAGACAAGCATCGTTCAAAATTACCGAGAATAATCCCAAACTCTTACCAGCGCCCAGTGGTAATGCTGATGGTAGTGGTAATATTAGCCGTTGCCTAACATTAGGAATTCCTTGCCACTACTACTATCAATTGGAAATTATAAAATCTTTATTAAAACAATTTTTCAGGAAAACACATATCTTAAGCCCGCTGTTTTCGTTTCGCTCTTTCCAGTATTAGTAGGGGCTTCCTTCCTAATTTTTTGTCCTAAGTAGTCTGGAACGGCAACATCTTGATTAGGACATAATCTTCTCCTTCAAGTTACACTTTAATTGTTGCTGCTGTTGAAACACCAATCAAGTAATGTGGCTTCTGTTATTTGGTACAATTCTTTGGTTGTGATTCGGTATTGCCAATTCACAAGGTTCGAAGAAGAATACTCTCTCTCTCTCTCTCTCTCTCTCTCTCTCTCTCTCTCTAAAATTAATTTTCTTCTTTTGAATCAAGTTACCAGTTTTCCTTCTGATGCGTCTCATTTGATTTTAATGACTTTGTCCCTTTCTCGATAACAATTTTAATGTTTTGTTATAATAAAAATAAGAACGTAGATTTTTTAAAACGTCACCTCCATTGATAAAAATAATATTTGAAGAGAAATTAGTTTTACTTAGATAGAATAAACTGAATAATGATTTACTACTTATTTTTTTACTAACAAACTCATTACTCAGTCGTAACATCTGCAATACCAGCTTGTTAATCATTACCTTAACTATACCCGTCATTACCCTACGATGATATCCCCTAATCAACATATACAAGTAGAAGGTTATATCTCAAATTAATACGTTAACATTTATTTCATTGAAATCCTGATTTGGGGAAGTGGGTCGACTGAGAACTTTTCGGTGTCCTTCGTATAATTTTCTTTACAAATGTTTAACATAAAGCCACAAGTAAGGGGAAGACAATGAGAATCGAATTCACTACTCAGTAGCAATGAGCAGCAAGACCACATATATAAAGCGAAATACGGACACCTCGAGGTGGTGTAATGGTTAGTTTTCATATTGTATATACTCATTGGGGATTTTTTAATTTGTTGTTTTATCCCCTCCCCCGCCAAATACGACGATTTGTACATATGAGGATTATTTAGGATTTTCATTGAGACAATGAGGTATTATGGTGGATGTAGTAAGAAAGGTTAGGAAGAATGTGGTGTTTTGGTGTTAGGAATATTGTTTGTATGTTTGGGTCAGTGTGTGTGGTTAGCTAAGTTTAAAATTAAGACAGATGAAGACCGTCCTTTTCCCCATCCACCTTTTTAGGCCTTGTGCTACATTTTCTGTATTTTTCAAAGAAATAAATATCGTAATGGTTAGCAAACTTGTTTCGCTAGAACAATTACGACTGAGTAGTGAGTTCGATCCTCACTGGGTTCTCCTTAATTTCGGCCTTGTGCCACATCTAAGCTACGCTTGAAAAAAATCACTATATAAAGCGAAATATTAATTACATACGCGCGTGTAACATTTTTCCAAGTCATCAGAAGAGTCCACTACACATTGCACATCTCTCTATAACGGTGTCATCGGGTGAGGTAGAAAAATAAGCATAATGTAATGATAAACCAACGTTTACGGTAAAATGTATTTGAATATATATAAGGTGGCAATGCAGTTACTTACAATAAAAAAGCAAAGCATTGAAGCAGGTGGCTTGCAGTCCGAACAGTATCGGTAATTAATTTACTATTGTTTGACATAGCATTTTATTGTTGTTAACCAGAACTATTTTAATAATAAATTTCTGAATCTGTTGATTAATTGCTTTGTCTTAATTATTATAATTAACTGTATAGTGAATTTATGCCCACCCTGCGTATATATATATATATATATATATATATATATATATATATATATATATATTAGTGGTAAATATACACATACATATGCAAAATATATAAATATATATACATACATACATACATATATATATATATATAAAAATAATTCCAAGAGGATAGTATCTAGGTAGAACTCAATGTCCAGGACAGAGTAAGGATATAATAAAAAAAAGCTTAAACACTAATATTCCATGGTCATAATTTATTCCATTGAAATCGTAAATACGATGCAATTCATCAGACCTACAAATTCAAAAAAAGAAAACAGAAAAAAAAAAACTTCAATGTTCATTTATATATATATATATATATATATATATATATATATATATATATATATATATATATATATATATTATTTTTATATAAATTTATTTAAAAAAATTTA